AACAACCCCAGCCTCCCCCAGCAGGGGGCACTGTGGGTTGTGCTGAGCTATTGCAGTGCCAGCCTCTCCCAGCAGGGGGCACTGTGGAGTGTGCTGAGCTATTACAGTGCCAGCCTCTCTCAGCAGGGGGCACTGTGGGGTGTGCTGAGCTATTGCAGTGCCAGCCTCTCCCAGCAGGGGGCACTGTGGAGTGTGCTGAGCTATTACAGTGCCAGCCTCTCTCAGCAGGGGGCACTGTGGGGTGTGCTGAGCTATTGCAGTGCCAGCCTCTCCCAGCAGGGGGCACTGTGGAGTGTGCTGAGCTATTACAGTGCCAGCCTCTCTCAGCAGGGGGCACTGTGGGGTGTGCTGAGCTATTGCAGTGCCAGCCTCTCCCAGCAGGGGGCACTGTGGAGTGTGCTGAGCTATTACAGTGCCAGCCTCTCTCAGCAGGGGGCACTGTGGGGTGTGCTGAGCTATTGCAGTGCCAGCCTCTCCCAGCAGGGGGCACTGTGGAGTGTGCTGAGCTATTACAGTGCCAGCCTCTCTCAGCAGGGGGCACTGTGGGGTGTGCTGAGCTATTGCAGTGCCAGCCTCTCCCAGCAGGGGGCACTGTGGAGTGTGCTGAGCTATTACAGTGCCAGCCTCTCTCAGCAGGGGGCACTGTGGGGTGTGCTGAGCTATTGCAGTGCCAGCCTCTCCCAGCAGGGGGCACTGTGGAGTGTGCTGAGCTATTACAGTGCCAGCCTCTCTCAGCAGGGGGCACTGTGGGGTGTGCTGAGCTATTGCAGTGCCAGCCTCTCCCAGCAGGGGGCACTGTGGAGTGTGCTGAGCTATTACAGTGCCAGCCTCTCTCAGCAGGGGGCACTGTGGGGTGTGCTGAGCTATTGCAGTGCCAGCTTCTCCCAACAGGGGGCACTTTAGGTTACCCTGACAGTTCAAAGCTCATCTAGTCCTATTCCCCATTAGCAAACAACGAAGCAAGGCGGACACGGTGCATTTCAAACTGAACCGTTTTCCTAAGCAAGGGACTGCCTGGAGCTGCATCGGTGCCCTTATTCTTTTCCCTGCAAACCCGCCTCCATCCTGCTCACGGGAAAACACGAAGGCTGGCGCTGGTTTCATTGACATTCCCCTCGAGCCATTCGTCACCCTGTGATTTCCTGGCAGGATCTGTCCAGAATTCTTCCCATCACCCGCTGGGATAATTTGTCTAAAAGCTTCAAACTTCTCAAGTGGATTCATCTGTTGGATTAAAGAATGGCCAAAATACACTGCTTGACGCTGTCAGCTGCCAGCGCTGGTCTGTCAGGGCTAATGACCCGAGAACTAACTGGAGCAGCTCCCCACAGCCTCTGTCCCAGTGCTGAAACGTCACAGAGCTGTGAGCTAGACCCCACGGGACTGCCCCAGCATCCCTCTATCCCCTAGGCTGGGACAGCTGCTTTGGTGGGGGGAAGGAGGAGGAATGTGCTCGTTTCTTCAGGGAGCTATTTGGGTGGGGGAGGGGGACGGGATCCAAAGTGCAGAGCTCAAACCTTCACCCCCATTCCCATCTCAGCCATGCTCGGTCAGGCCTGTGTGCAGTTCTGCGGTTCACAGCACCCTCTTGTGGATCCTTCCCTGCATCCACAGGCCAACCACGTCCAAACCAGCATCGGCGTCTATTTCTAGGGTAGGGGCAGGCTGTACGGATTTGCCCGCATGTGCAGTGACACCACAAGAGGGGTACACACTGCTGGGTATGCCACACGGCATTTATCTGGGGGCTGCCCTTAAGAAAGGAGCACAAAGACTTGGGGGGAGGGTTACAAGGAGAGGGACAAGCCGTTCTGTGCTCCCTCCTTGGTCTGTTTCATCTCCTTGCCCAGATGCAGCAGCAACAAAAGAAAGCAAAAGCTTCAGTTACTGCTCTTTCCTGAAGCCTAAAGCAGCTGCCAGGCAGGACCAGGGTTAGTAGAAATACCAGGCTATCCAGGGAATAGTTTCCAAGGGTGAGATCGCAGCTGGGATAATAAGAGACCAAGACGCATTCTTCCGATGAGCAAGACACTTCATCTCGCCATGCCTCACTTCACCCAGAAAACAAGGATAAGGATTCCTCACCCCTCCCCATGCGGTCTGTCTTGTCTGATTAGTGTAGAGGTTACTCTGTTTGTACAGCAGCTAGCGCAATGGGGCCTCAGATTCATTTGGGGCCTGTAAGTCCCCAGTGTGGGAAGATCCAGGAACAAGGGAGTCTGATTTTATAGGGCATGATCCAACTGATCTTACTAGGCCCAGCTGATGTCCATCGCTCACCTGGGACAGGATTCACACAAGGCCTTTTGGCTCAGCCTGAGCCTGGATTCTGGGAAGATAGACATAGCTCTCCCTCCATCACGAGGGAATGACGTGGCGGGGTAGAGGTGTGAGAAGTGATCCATTTTCACCTCCCACTTGAAAACTGGTCATGTCACAAGTGTTTGAAAATTGTCTCCACGGTGGATTCAGGGTGAAATGTGGCCTTCCCTGCCAGCAAATGCAGCTTTTCATGGGGAAATCGAACTCCACGGAGCGGCCGGATTAATCGGGAGTTAGCGTGACGGAAATTGACCAGATATTAACCAGTTGGAAGCAGAGACATCGCCCTCTGCCTGGAAAAAGCAGTCCTCTGATCTGCCAGCGTGCAATGGGGCAGTCAGAGGAGTGTACTGTGATGGGGCTGTGCAGCCCCACATGCTAAACGTCCACCCCAGGAAGGGAGACTGACCCCAAACTAGCAGGACGACACTAAAGAGACGATCGGGGGGGATAGATTCCATCTTCTTGCGTTAAGAGCTGGAATTGGGGTCGCAGCAGCAGGAAAGAGGACTCTGCCCCTTCCGGGGCCTCGTTGATTTTTCAGACCCTGTCCTGCTCCTTGTAAGAGGCAGAGGTTGGCATAAATTCCATTAATTTCAGTGAAGGGCTGAACCTCCCGGAGATGCAAACGGCTGCAAAAGCGTGCCTGGCCCGTGAAAGGAGCACGTTGTGTCGGTGCAGCGGAAAGCGTGAATGGGCCGGGTTAACAGATCGTGCTCCCCAGTGGCGTTTCCTCAGAGATTAGCATCACGGGGACAGGTACGTAGCCTTTGCTGTGGCCACCTAACCATCTAAGCGGCCTACAACTTCCAGGCTGGCGCCTGCCTGCAAAAACCCTATGGGCTACTGTGACTCCGGTCCTCGGGCAATGGCTAATTCAGTGCACTGGGATGACAGTCCACAGCATCCCCATATCGTGATCCTGCAACTCGGAGCAATTTAAGCGTGCAACGGGAGCCTTCGGGGTTCCAGTTCCCAAAAGGCTTCGTTTGTAACCACGCAGGGTGCAGCTGACCCATGCTGCACAGTAGGAATCCTGGGTATCGAAGCAATGAAATGACCCAGCGAGGTTATTAAAGGGGCAACGTAGGCGAAAACACCCGCTGGTGGGCAGAGAAACCGTTTGGAGGTTCCCCTGGATCACAAAGCCACCTCCCTTAAGCAGGGCTGGGGCCCAAGCTCACCGCTGAAGGCCGGGTGGGCCCAGGTGAGGCATTTGGGTTGGGGATCTCCCTGCGGAAGCTCAGGTGCAAATGCATTTTAAGCAGCAAGCTTCCAGGAAAGGCAGAGGCCCTGCACAGCAGCCTCTTGGGACAGAGCAGAGTGGAGGCTGCTACTAGAGGGAGTTGCCTGGCTGCTGTTTGTGACCAAGGAGACAGCTAGTAAATAAACAGAAGACACGAAGAACACCCCAGGGTGACATCCCAGATCTGGTGAAATCAACGAATATTTTGCCATAGACCTCAAGGCAGGCAACAATTCCACACACATACACCCCGACACTGGGTCCCCGATTCCTCCTGAAAGCGGACCTGCAAAGCCCCCACTGCCTGCGGTTTAGCCAAGGGGAATGCCACGTAGAAAAAACACATGGGCACTGCCAACACCGTACAAGTTACCCCGTCAGGTAAATTGCAGGTAGTTGGATCTTGTATCTCTAGAGCATGTCATTTTAGTATGGCTGGCACATCCAATCAGGATCAGCCAGCCGAGAGAGACAGCAGGGTATTTTTGCACATGAAGGAACAGGTGCTGTCAGCCATACTATTAATGTTGCTCTAGCCCAAATAAAATTCAAGCCGCTGCTGTATCCACCATCCTCTCCTGATCCAGGCTACAGTGAGTCTGACCTGCAGGGGTACACGGGCCTGGCGTTCCATTTCATGGGACCCTAGATTAGGGCTGGTTGGTCATCTAGTCCAACCCCCTGCTCCCAGAAGAACCAACCCCAATTTGCAGACAGACGCAGCTCGGGTGGGATTTTTTCCATCGGGTTTTAGCATCGTGAACATATGGACTCATACGCTGGAAACAAGGTATTTACATAACATAGTGTGTGTGTTTGTGTGTGTGTTATAAAAGCAGATACCAAAATACATTAATGAGCATCTGGCTGATGGTTCAGTTTCTCTCCGGTGGCTGTGTAGAAGGACCAGCATTCCCCCGGGCTAATAGAGGGCAGCCCCCGACCAGCCCCATCACAAAAGGGAGAAGAAACAAGTGAAGATCTTGGCCTACATCACTGCTTCTGCACCCCCACGAAGGCAATGTTGGGTCCCAGAAGTGCCCAGAGTCCCACACACAAGGCACGGAGTTAAGAGAGTCCTGATCGCTAAGGCATGGAGGAGGAAAGGCGGCAAGAGGACGGCTGGTGCCCTGCAGAAGCTCGAAGGAAGCGTTAGCAGCAGCGGAAGTCACTCACGTGGTTTGACTGATCTGTGAGGTCTTGGATTAAGGCAGCAAGGGGAGAGGAGAGAGAAACCAGCGGGAGAGCTACTGGTATCACCTGAATGCTCTCTACTCAGCTCTCAGTCTTACAAGGCAGCGGCAGCACTTCCATGGGCTTCAGTGCAAGTCTCCTAAGGCAGCGGGAGCAACGTGTCCCTGGAAACACCATCTCAGCACTGTGCAGAACGCAGCCATCGCCGACGTCGGGGGCCCTCACTCCTGCCCTTCTGATTTAGCTTGTCCGTCTTCCTCCAGGGGGCTGTCGGAGCTGTCGGAGAAGAACTCCTGGTTGTATTGCTTTGCCCTGGACTCTAGGACGGTGATGCGCTGTTTGAGCTTCAGCTGGGCAGCATTGTACTCAGTCAGGAGCCGGGCAAAGCGGGTGTGCAGCGTGTCCAAGTTGAACTCCAGCCTCTCCAGCTTCTGCTCTGTGCTCTTCCCTTCCATGTCCTCTGCCGCCGCGGACTCGTCCAGAAGCCCTTCCTTGATCAGGATCTCCCGGCCACGCTCCTCCAAGACCCGCTTGGCATCAGGGTACTCGGTCACCGCTTCCATCAGGTCGTCCTTGGACAGGCAGAAGAGATCGGAGTAGCCAAGGCTCCGGATGTTGGCCGTGCGTCGGTTGCCCATTTTGCTCCCTTTGATGTTGAGGATGCTGATTTCACCAAAGCAGCCTCCTGCAGTGAGCAACGCATACTGGGTCACGCCATCGTCCGCCACCACGGCTAGCTTCCCCTCCTTGATGATGTACATCTCCTTGCCTATGTCTCCCTTCCGGCAAATGTAATCGCCAGGGCTGAAAACCTGAGGCCGAAGCTTCAGCACCAGCTCCACCAGCAGGCCAGCCTCACAGTCCTGGAAGATCCTCACCTTCTTCAATGTCTCCAGGTGGACGTTGATGGCAATCTCCGCCCTCAGTTTGTCAGGCAGGTTCTTGAGGACCTCACGCTCATCCACGGCCTTCTTGTTGGTCCAAAGGTAGTCGAACCACTTGATGACCTTGGCCTCCATGTGCTTGCTGACCTTGCGGAACTGCATGTAGTGCTTGACGGCATCGATTTTGGCCTGGAACTCGGCCCTGGTGGCATTCATGTTGGAGATCATGGAGCCCACATTCCCCACGATGGTGGCGAAGATGAGGACGCCGATGAGGAAGTCAACAATGACGAAGAGGTACTCCTCGTCACTCACAGGGGGCGGGGTCTCCCCGATGGTGGTGAGGGTCAGAGTTGACCAATAGAGGCAGTAGACATACTCCCTGGCAAGATAGCCGTACTCAGGGTCTGTGATGTTGGGGTACACCCAGGTGTCCGTTCCAAGCCCAATAGCCTTGGAAATGGCATAGTAAATGCAGGCATTCCAGTGGATAATGATCAGGATGTAGAGCACCAGGTTGCTAATCCTGAACATATTTGGGTAGCTGGTTCTGGTCTCGGTCCGGTCAAAGAACTCAAACATGCGGGAAAAGCGCAACAGCCGGTTGAAGCGCAGTTCGGGCTGATGTAACCCTACTGCAAAGTAGACCAGGTCTGTTGGCAAAATGGAGAGGACATCCAGCTTGAATTGTAAGGTGGTGATATAATTATCCCGCAACTTCTTTGGATCCCTGACCAGCAGACCCTGTTCCAAGAAACCTAACAGAGAAGCAAGGGGAAGAATTAGCCTGTTTGTTCTACTGGCTTTGGGGTTGCATTCCACCAACATACACGTGAAGCAATTAAAATATTTCTAGTTCCATCTAATCTGCTAACTCTACAAGCCTTTGCCAGCCCTCAAGTGCTTCATCTGGAAAAAGCCACGTACGGGTATTACTGAGGGATTGACTCTGATGACACAGAGATAGGAGGACACTCTGATGTTTCTGCTTGGCATAGAGTGAATTAACTCAGAGTTCTGCGGTGACAGGCAGAAATTGCGCAGCAGCAGCTACATTCTGGGAACATTACATTCTGCCATTTTTCCATTTAGATTACTCATTAACTTAACAGATACCAAACCAAAGACACAGGCTTAAACCTGGGCTTGAATGCTAATGGTAATGTGAGTAATTTGGTACAATTATTCAGCGGTGAAGTTAAAAGCTGTGGATGATGAATCTTTCATTTTGAAACTTCGTCTATTTCACAGAGCTTTTAATGAGATTCTCTCTCCAGGGGCCAGTTCCTGCCAGCTCCCACTAAGTTATGGATTAAGCCAGGGGCTCTCCACTTCTCCAGATGACTGTACCCCTCTCAGGAGTCTGATTTGTCTTGTGTACGCCCAAGTTTCACCCCATTTAAAAGCTACCTGCTGACCAAAATCAGCTATAAAAACACAGAAGTATCACAGTACTGAAAAAATGCTTCCTTCATTTTCACCATGCAATTATAAAATAAATCTATTGCGATTAGGGTTGTAAAAGGTTAAATGGTTAACCAGTTACCCAGTAAACATTAGCCTTGCTGGCATGCATATCTGGTAACTGGTTAACCAGAGGGCCAGCCTGACCGGAGCAGCCCTCCCCACTACCAGCTGCGGGGGCCCACCAGTCCTCCACAGTTAACCAGCTGAACAATTAAAATTGCATTGTTAAACCGGCTAACTTTTTTACTGGGTAGTTACATCCCTCATTGAAATATTAATATTATACAGATTGAACCTCTGTAAACCAGGACTCTCTGGTCCGGTAACCAGACCATGGATGTTCCAGGCCCAGCGTCACGGTGGAGAGCTGGCGGCTGGGCTGCCTAGTTTAGCAGGAGAGGGAGCGGGGGCTAGGGGGAACAGCAGGATTGCAGGGGAGCTGGCTGGGAGGCTGGTGGCCAGTCCAGGGCTGGGAGGGTCAGTACCATGGGGGCCAGAAATGACATTCCTGGTCCGGCAAAATGCCTCATCCAGAACCAGTCAGGTGCCAAGGGTGCCGGACCAGGAAGGCCCAACCTGTACTTACATTTCAGCGTATAGAGCAGTACAAACAAGTCACTGTCTGGCTGGAATTTCAGTTTGTACGGACTCCGCTCGTGCTTTTTTACATGTGCCCAGGCACACTGCTGGGGGAGCGGAGGTACCGCCCGGAAGACCTCTGCCTACCCCTGGGGTTGAAACCCACGAATTCAGCCCCTCCTCATAAAGGAGCCCAACCCAGGCCAGCCACACCCAGCTTCTTATCAGCTCTCCGGTGAAACATTAGAACGGATCCCTTCACATCTAAGCCGCCTCTTCTGCTCACCTGTGCGCAGCCTGATGACAATGTCAGCAATGTAGATGCAGTCCGAGAGGTAGTCCAGCACCAGCCAGTGGATCCAGTAGAACCTCTGGAGGTCATTGAAACAGGCCCTGCAGGAGAAGCACGTGGCAATAACGAGGGGGGGAGGGTATCAAGATGGCGAAACCAGCTAAGCCCCATCCCCCACTCAATGAAGGCTGATGCAGACCAGGAAGTCCCACCGGGCACCGGCCCTTGACAGTCGCCAGCCATTCCCTCGTGCCTCAGAAACGGAGCCCGTCCTGTACTGAGCTAAGCGGTGAGGCTTCTGCCACAGCCTGCCACGTGCACACAGCAGCCTGCCACTCCACACGCCACATTACCCACCCAGCACTGGCATCCCACCAGCTGGAAGTGGCTCTGCCTTTCCAGAGCCACAGCAAAACCGGCATATTTTTGCCCTTGATGCAATAAGGTCGGCTGCTTTGTGCGTGCCCTTCCGTGGCCAGGATGTGTCTGCCTCAGTTTCCCTCCTTGGACTCCTCAAATTCCCAAGGCTTTCACGGGTCCGACAGCCGCCTTTTGGGGGGTCTGGTTTATTAGCATACAGTTCAAAAATAAAACACAGGGGCTGCGTCTAGACTGGCAATTGCTTTTGCGCAAAAACTTACCAGCTGTCTACACTGGCCACTTGAAATTGTGCAAGAGCACTGATGTTCTAATGTAAGAATTCAGTGCTTCTTGCACAAATACTTTGATGCTCCCGCTCAGGGATAAGCCCTCTTGCGTAAGAATACTTGCGCAAGAGGGCCAATGTACACAGGCCCCTTAATTTTTTGCGCAAGAAAGCCCGATGGCTAAAATGGCGAGCGGGGCTTTCTTGCGCAAAATCGCATCTAGACTGGCCACGGATGCTTTTGTGCAAAAGCACTTTTTGCGCAAAAGCATCCGTGCCAATCTAGATGCTCTTTTGTGCAAATGCTTTTAACGGAAAAACTTTTCTGTTAAAAGCATTTGCGCAAAATCATGCCCGTCTAGACGCAGCCAGGATGTTTGTCACCACCAGTTTATGCTGGGCACTGCCCCATCTCCCCAAGTGTTTCTTAACACTCTCAGAGCCACTGGAAAAGACACAAGGCCTACCCTGCTTTCTTGCCTTCTCCCCAAGATTTCCAACCAGAGCTTTCGGCCGGCCACAACTTTGCAACTAGGGATGTAGAATGGTAACTGACGAGCCGGTAAGTATTCGGCTTAGCAGAATGCTTACCAGGTAACCCGTTAACTGGACTTTGTCCAGACTCCGGTAGATGCTAGATCCTAGCCACATCCAACGCCAGGCTGGTTGGCTGGACCCCAGCCATGGTGGGGCAGCAGGTGGGGCAGCGGTAGGCAGGTGGAGTCCCAGTTGCACAGCAAGCAGGCATGGCTCTGACCACCGCCGCACCAGCTGGCAAGATCCACAATCACATCAGGCTGGCAGGGGGGAAGGCCTACCCTGTGTGGCTGGCAGGGGGAGGCGGGACCCCAGCCATGCCAGAGCAGGGCCTCAGCCCCATCCACTGCAGGTAGGCTGGTCTGCCGTGAGCTGGCCGGCCAATGGTTAACCGGTATAATTTTAATCGTTTAACTGATTAACAGTGTTAACTTCACTCTGCAGTTGCCGCTGGTCCTCCACTGGCCTCTGCTTTTCTCCCTCCCTTCTGATTTAGACACATGAGCCAATTCATCCTGTACCTGGGGAGGCAAATCAGCTGCAGCACAGGTAGGCAGAGCCCTCCTTTCCTCCGTGTCTTTGAAGGAGCCAGCCACCCCCAGGGGGCCACTGCTGGTCTCAGAGATGGGGTCGCCCTAGAAAGCCTCCTAACTCACCTTACCACAAGCAAGCACCAGTTGTAAAGGACGGGCACTGCAATGACAAACAGCCAGCGGTAATACCAGTCTCCAGCCGGATCCACCACAAAGAGTTCCCATTTCTTCCTGAAAGTGGAAACTAGGAAACTAAGGCATCCGAGGCTGCATGTGGTTAACAGCAGAGTGAGCATCAGACCGAGCCCCTTCCATCTAACGAGCATTAAGTACCCGCCTGGCTCACTGGCTCAAGGCCTCCTAGCCATCCTTTGTAGGAGGTAAAGTGTGCAGATTGGGAAACTGAGACATGGAGCCTTTAAGTGACTTGCCCAAGGGCACCCAGTAAGTCAGTGGCACAGTCAGGAAGCAAACCAGGGTCTTTTTAATGTCTTTTAATGTCCATCACTGGACAACAAGCCCTTCCATATATAACGTGGGTCTACTAGGTGTCAGTGAGTTCTCTTATTGCCCTCAGTTAGGGCAGAGTGGGAAACACAGGGCCATGCAATTAGGGGCCTGTGAGACGCCGTGCTCAGGAAAGAGAGAGGCTGCTGTGGCAGCTAATACTGTGGAATCACCATTCTCCTTCTGCTCTGTGCGGCCTGCAACCTGCTCAGAGTCATTGGGGCCAGATGTATGCGCGGCAATGGCCAGATTTCTCTGAGAGGAGACGGGGAGGAGGCAGAAATCCTGCTTCCAAACCAGTAGACTTGTCTCTCCCTCATTCTATGCCAAGCGAACAAACTCCCCGCAGCTGCTGAGTCCCCCAAAGTCCCTCCCCTGAGCTGTAAAAACAACTCGCCGGCCAGCAAATGTCACCCGTGTCCATTTGGCAGTTACCAGCTCCCTTCCCTGCGCATGCTGCTTCTGCCCCCTTGGAAACCGCCCCCTCCTGGCCTTTTGTCTACAGCTGTGGTTCAGCCCAGCCCAGGCACTGGCAGCAGGAACGCACTGGGCTTTGGGAATGACGCATCTGGCCGGTCTGCGGCCCAGGGTCACACAAGGTTTTGGTAGGGCCGCAAAGGGGGGTGGTTCTACGTGGCTCAAACCAGCCAAGTGTTGGACTTCTGTTGTTTTCAGAGAAAAGGTCGGACTTCTCCTGTGTCTGCCCATCACGTATCTAAGCTCCGATGCCACACCTAGGCTGCTGGCTCCCAGACGGTCCCCAAATGGGCCAGCAGCGGGAAGGGGTTCCAGTGAACCCTAGAATGGACAGAGGTGATGGAACTACAGGTTCGGGGGGTGCTGCCTCACATACACATGGTTTGAAGTGGTTTCCGTCATATACAGCAGGGCTGGGGGAGCCGCTGACCCACAGAAAAATAAGTCAGGGGTCACACACAAGTGAGAAGTCATGACCCCTGACTCCCCACATTCTCCTGACATACCAGAGCCTCGGGGGGGCCAGGCTAGTAGATTTTGTGGGCCTCCCTAGGCTCTGGGGTGGGGCAAAAATGAGGGGTTAAGTGAGCACAACAAGGCTACTGGGAAATAGGGTTGCCAGGTGTCCACTTTTCACCCAGACAGTCCGTCATTCGGGTCCCCCATCAGGTAAAAAAAAAAAGAAAATACTGGATACGTGAAATGTCCGGTATTTCTTGTTTCTCTCGGACGGAAGCCTTCCGGGGACAATTTTTCCCCTGCCGCATCTTGGCAGTGGGGGTGAGGAGTGTGGAGGGGTGTGAGAAGCGTGGGGCCATTTAAAGGCACAGCACCCTTTTTTTTCCCTCAACAGCTTTGGGGAAAATTGTGTTGAGACAAAAAGGGGGAGACCAGTGGGGTTTTTTTGCAGGGCATCGGTATTTTTTGTTAAACCATCTGGCAACCCTACTGGAAACAGGCTTTGGGCTTGGGCTCTGCGTGGGAGGGAGAGTGCAGGAGTGGACTGGAAGGGGAGCCCTGAGCCTCGTGAGCTAGATCCGGGCAAGCTGGGGGCATGGCCTTCGGTTCCCCACCCCGATATACAGGGTTTAGAGTTTCATTGAGCGGTCCTCAGCACCCCCACTGTACCAGTATGGAGGACACCATTTGGCTCCTCCCATTGTGACCTCACACGTATTCAGCTGCTGGGTCCCACAGCCCGGAGCATGCCACTTTGCTCTCTGAACCCCTGGCGTTCATCGTGGCGAGGTTAGCCCCAGGGGCAAAGCACTGCCTAAGGATGCCGCAATGCTGCGTCTCAGCATCACATTCAAGACTTAATGTCATGACAGGAAGCGGCTTGATGGCTGTCCTCCACTCGGCAAAGGGAGCGGTCTCCCCCGAGATCGTGTTGGAAATGGGAATCCCTCACTCGGAGACACCCCTGTGCGTGCCAAGTGGCTGGGGAACCCACCCTGAATTTTGTGGGACCATCTTGAATTTACAAAGCCTCAAATGGAGGAATGGCCCCAGCTAACTGGCTAGCACTTCACCACCATCTG